ACCAATTATTAATACAACACCTGAACTTGATAGAAAACATCGATATTTTATTGGAAAAGATTATGCGAATGCATATGAAAAAGATTTTAAAGAACTTGAAGATTTCAGGTCAGGTAATTAGCCTTTATTTTTCTTTATTTGTTTTGCTCATGTATATCAAATCTGCTAATATAAACTGTACGGTAGATTATATTAAACGAACATTAGTACCACGTATGCCATGGCATGATGAAGCATTAGTTGTATTTGGTAAAACGGCTCGAGATGTTGCAAGACATTTTATTCAACGATGGAATATTCATAAAGTTAGTTAATAAAAACAGTTTACTTGAATTTCGCTACATGCATTCATAATCAGAGATTATTGAATCAGATAGATTTCATTCTATATGTACATTACTGTCAGCAATTAGTTTATTACCAAAATGATTGATTACAATCTGAGTTGGTAACTAAAACAGTTAAATATATTGCTTGATCGAAAAGTTGTTAGTCAAATCGTTGTGGGATTAAAATATGAAACACAATACTGCTGTTGTCCCTAATCACGTGAATTTTGTTTGCTTGAATATATCTTGGAAACCATTTATTCATTGTTTATATGGAAGTGAATACACTAAAGACACTTATAGTCTGCCTAATTCGTACTCAAATCATACTAGGCTCGAGTCAAATTCATATCGAGACATTTGCAGTAACACATGCAGCAATAGTCACACTCCACATCCTCATCTGTTTAAATAATTTGATATAGATCCCATTATTAAAGACACGAGAGTAGATTTTCCAATATTGTAAATTGACGACTAGCAGTTCTGTTTTAACAAGATATCATATAATGTTTTTCCTGCGGCAATCTCTCCTAGTGTCGGTTTTCTCTATGTGGTTTTACTCAGAAGGCTTCTGGTAGTAGTATACTCCTCTTCTAATCTTGAAAACTTTTATTGTCCGCCAGCGAAATTCTCCCATTTTATTCTTTGTTTCACTCACCGATTCTGGAGAAAATTGCTGAATCCTACGCCGGAACCTGGCAACCTCGGAGCACCTCTCAATGTAATCTCTAAAACTTTCTGAGTATGCTGACGATGGTTGAGATAAAATGGGATGAGACTACAAATGAAATGAGCATCGAGAACTGGCATAGAAACTTATCTACACGTCTGCCATCTGTTGGGAACTATTTGACCTGGTTGCTAACTCAGATAGTAATCAATCGTTTTGGTAATAAACTAATCAATTATTCGATTATGGATTTATTCGCTCAAAATGGAAGTTACCAAAAAATTGAGAAAATATTTTATAAATTTTAATTTTGAATTTTTTTGTTAAGTGTGAAAAATATCTGAACAACAATCTTTATCCATTTCTATTACCTAAGTCTTACGATGATGTTGAAGACTTAGCTGTTGAAAACTGGAGAGATTTTCTTGAAGGGCAACCATTTCGTGTAAATGCTCAAGTAAGTTATTATTTTAGATTAATATTCATTTTAATAATTATTTTCACATGAATTTTGCATTTAGTGTGTTCGATCAGTTGGACCATGGTCAGCGAGAACAAAATCAATGGAATCATCGATTCATAATACTTATATACAAATGATTGATGCTGCTAAACATTTTATATATATTGAAGTAAGTTAATTAAAAAAAAATACAGGTTTTGTCTACTATTTAGTATTTAGAATCAATTCTTTATTACTATTGCTCAAGATTCAGTAGTTCAAAATCAAATAGCTGATGTTCTTTTTCGACGTATAGAACGAGCGCATAAGTATGACGTGTTTTTATTATATAATATTTTAAATAGTTTCATTTGTTGATTAGAAATGCTGAAAAATTTCGTATTTATGTTGTTCTTCCTCTTTTACCTGGTTTTGATAACACGAATGCTGTACAAGCTGTACTCTATTTTATTATGCGTTCGATTATTAAAGGCGATAATTCATTACTTAAACGACTTGAAAAAGCATGTAAGTCAACATTTTTTCTCATAGTTTTCTTGTTTTTTAATAGCAGATATGAAACTAGAGTAGCTTAGGAGTTTTTCAATTTTACATTGTGATTTGCAACAGTAAATAGGACTAGACTGAGTACAATTGTTTATCGTCGTTTGAAAAAGCAACGTTCAATTAATTGTAATAACGTTTAAAGATTTTAAGAATAAAGATCTGTTGTTTTTTAATTATATTATCGATACTTCACTTATATAATTTCATGACGAAACCCGTTCATTTCCGGTCTCTGTCATATGTTTTAATTAAAATCTGTGTCTAGTGTATTTTTATATGTTTAATTATTTCCAAGAAATACTTATTGTATTTTCGAAAAAAAAACTGCACTCAACAGATAAGTTATCTCTTAATTGAGTCAAAGACAACAGAATTTATTCTAGTATATATTTAGTGTAATATGGAAAAGAAATTTTACAGAGAGGAATACACCTCATGGAATTAAAGATGGAGATGATGAAGAATTTCAGAGATGTTCAGAATAAGCTGTTCTCGTACGTTGTAGTATGATTGAAAAAGATTTCTAGTCTTACTCTACTCTACACTTCCTCATTCTTACGAAAGCTGAATGGATATTCCGTGTTCTAAAACAATATCTATGCAGTCGGGTAATAATGGTTGACATAATTCAATACGATGCTTCACAAAATGCTAAAAAGAAGGAAAAAAAACTTATTTGAGATATAGTATTTATTATCATGTTGTTTCTAATCAGAAAAATTCAAATATAGTAGAATCTAGAAAAGTTAAACATGATACTCGAATTCGACTGTCTCCTATTCATGAACAAATGAAATAAACGATGCAGACATACTTATCACGGCAGCAGCGACTTCTCTTTGAAGGACGATTCAAAATGTTATGTATTTGTAAAAATTTTCGAAATCTACAAATACAACATTGAGGCGTGATGAATTCTAGTTCAGTACATTCGCTTTAGTGGAAAATTAAACAGTTTTCTTGAATACCTTTGTAACAATGGGAACTGATTTTTGTACTCCATCGAAGCATGGCAGAGACGGGCGAACTTTTATTTTCTATTGTCACTGCAGATGTTCATCCACAACAGACATCCCTAAATCGATCTATAATTCTTATATACATTATGAAATTCTGTTTCTTGATATTAAGGTATTCCACCAAAGGATTATATTAATTTTTTTGGTATGCGTCACCATGACATCCTAATGGGCCGTCTAGTAAATATAATATTTTACTATTAATAGAATTCGTATATTCGTGGTCTTGTTTTAGGTAACTGAAATAATATATGTTCATTCAAAATTAATGATCATTGATGATCGCATGGCTATATGTGGTAGTGCAAATATAAATGATCGTTCATTAGTTGGTAATCGTGATAGTGAATTTTGTGTTGTAATAAATGATATTGAAGAAGAAGATGGTCGATTCAATAGACAGCCAGTTCGTGTAGGAAAATTTTGTTCTAGTTGGCGTAAAAAGATCTTTGAGTATGTTTCATATCTAAAATTACATTGATTCTAGTAGAAAACTATTTTACTTTTAAGAATGCTATTAGGTATTCAATTCGAAAATCCAAATAACATTGATATAACTGATCCAGTGTCAGATGAGTTTTATTCTTATTTTCAAGATGTAGCAAAACAAAATACACTCATTTATGAAGAAGTTTTTGCTACAATCCCAACTGATTGCACTAGAACATTTGCTCAAGTTACTGCATATAATGGCATGGCTAAGATGAAAGATACGGATCCAATAAAAGTATATATGCGAATGCACAAATTTCGTAGTTTTTGAACCATGTTTTTATTATTTTTTTTATCAAGTCACAACAAAAATTGAAAGACGTCCAAGGTTTTGTTGTCGAATATCCGGTTTATTTTCTTAACGAAGAAAACTATTTACCTAGCATGATATCCCCTGAAGGTAAGAATTTTTTGTTTCATTATAAATAATGACTTCGAATAATCATTATCAGAACGAATGTCACAATCTTTTTTCATATTGAGAGAGACTGAGAAAAAGAACTGCTTTTCTTCAAACCGATCGATCACTGAAATACTCTTGTTGTGCCATGAAAAGAGAGCATGTGACATCTCGGATAATGTTCTGATCAGGTCGACTAACCTATGAATTATCTGATATCTTATTATTTTCTTTCTTTTAGGCATAGCTCCCTTGACAATATGGACTTAGAGTATTTATTTTTGTAAGACTTTGCAAATGAACGAGGAAACAAGTATTAGTTTGGTATATTTGTTTTATCAAAAATAATTTATTTTATTCATATTGTCGGTTGATTATATGTTCATTTTGTATCTCGTGTGCTGTTTTCTATATTTTCTATTGTATTCTAAGCGTTTATATCAATGTCTTAATCGTTTTTTTTTTGTTCGATATTTTCTTTCTACTTATTTAACCAATCAAACATTTTAGTATTTAGGAGTACTTTCATTTTTCATTTCACATATATATGTACCTTAATAAAGTTTTTTCTTTTCGTACCACATGGTAGCAATCAGAAGTGTGGGGTGGGGTGTGGGTGTGGGAGATGGGTGTGTATGTTCTTTCCCCCAACACCCATCCTCACACACATCTACACCCTCATCCATCCATCGATACCATATCGTAGTTTTTCTATAATTAGATTTTTTCAAGTTGCAATTTTGATTTCAAGCATCGGAAATTTATCAGGGATCCGTTTAATAAAAATAGTTCTTAAATGAAGCTAAAGATGATCAATCGAAAAACCTGTTCAAACAGTTTGACGAAAAACACATGACTTTCGTTTTGAAACAAATGAGATTACTCACATCCACTCGCACATCCACAGCCTAAAGTCTATAGATCAATCTTGGTACTTTTGTGTACGTTTGTTGAATATCGGACTATAAGAATAATGAATATTTTTAATAAAAATTCATCGATGGTATCGAGATGAGTCTTTTTTACTATATGCATCGTTTATTCTCATTTAAAATAGATGACAATCAAGTTACATAAATTAGCAAGCTGTAGAAGAAGGTAAAGATGATGATGCAGGTTGAGAAATGGTATGCATTAATGGAATATAACGTTGAATCTCATGAAGAAAAGTAACATAATCAGTAATTGTTAATGTTCTGTAATGTACATTGGCCAATTCACTTTTCAATGATTGATACATTGATTCACGATTGATCATACACATTTCATAGAGCTGTAAAAGTCGATGACCGTCCAGTCGTGAACATAGAAGAAGCATGGTATTATCAATTCCGTTTGTTAGAAAAAATGATTGAACATGATTATTAGTCCATTGAATAATCCAATGAGGTAGTTCACTGTATAAAGAAATAATATAGAATGAGAAAATACGAACAAGGATATCTAACTGTTATTGACAGTTTTATTTTCTGGTACAAGTCGACTGTAAAATCGAAAGTTTTAGATTATTTTTCTATTTCAATGTACACTTAAATTGACAACTATTCCTATGATCTTAAAATTGATCAAAAAAAAAATCTTTTCCTCTGAAGATAAGCACCGGTCAAGTTCCAAAAAGCAAGACTATTTGAAAAATATTTTCGTAGCTGTTACGTCTATTGTGAAATACTTCATTTGCAATGTCATCACTATTAGAAACAATTTTCTATTCTATGAGTTTTTCAGTTATGACTTGCAAAACAAAACTCACATGATCGAAGATCTCTCGATCAATATCGAAGCCTCTTGAACAGATTTCGAAATTGTAGAAGAAATATCTTGATAATTGCTTTGTTTAGATTTTACCATTGAATAATTCATATTCAGTTGACAATATTGATTTATTTCTTTTTTCAATTTTTCATAAGCCAATGTAAATTCGATCTTGGTAAAATCTACATAAATTTTATCGCTTACCATAATACCGAGCCATCCATCAGGCTTATAACAAGGTTTCATAATAAGTGGTATCAAATGACAGCGTCGTTCAAATGCGTAATGTGCTTCCGATTGACAATAGACACTTTGTTTATATATATCCGACATACATATCAGAACAAATTCAGAATTTTCAATAGCTTCTGCCATAGTAATCATTGTAGCTCCATACATGTTATCACAATCGATCCAAACACTAAATCCATCTTGAACAAATCATTCATGAATTTTGATAACATAATTGTCGATCATTATGTGAATAACTTATCATAATATCGTATTTATGTGATTTTGAATTAGTTAAGTTAGCAACAGCTTCAGCTTCTTTTTCTAATTTCCAACGAAGAGCTTCGGCAGCTCGTTGTAAATTTCATTTATCCGAATTGGTATTATCGACAAGATTTCGAATTTTTGACATCAAATTTATATTTTGTTTTAAAGCCGATGAAGCATCATTATTAAATGAAAGTGCAAGAAGAATTTCGAGAACTATTGGTTTGACTCTAATCGAATCAAATTCAGTTTCAATTATACATCGTATAAGTAGTGGAAGTGCATTTTGTTTTATTAATTCAACTTTGACTTGATCATGTTGAAGAAAATCTATAGACAATAAATCGTATGAAGAGATTAGTAAAAATAAAACAAAATATAACTTGCTTTTCAAACTCCATAATATACTATAAAATCGTTCTTTTGTTTTTAAATCATCAATTGTATTCAAAAGAAACTTAACATAGACGCTCGTAATCTTACTCGAACTTGCCATGATTTTAATATCTCTTTCATTCATCAATTTACCCAAGCAACGATAAGTATTCAATTGTGTTTCATCTTCTTCAACATCAATCATTTGAAGTAACATTGGAATTAAATTTGGTACAGTTTTCATAAAATTTAGTACATTTGCATGTAATATAAAATCGTACAAATTTTGAGCGATAATCTTTTTTATTGATTTAACATTAGGATCATCTGATGAATAATCAAGTATCACTCATAAAAATGATGACCATTTTGAAACTAATCTACAATAATCATTATAGAATTCTTGATTTGAAATATTGACATTTTCCCATTGGATAAGACGAACAAAGGCATTATTCAAACGACGTAGGATGTTTCTAACATGTTTAGAACAATGAATAATTGAATCTGAATGACAACTTATTATCCATTGAGTAAATGGACTCAATAATATACGTGGTATTTGAAGAAAAAGTTCCGACTGATGAATAGGTGGATACCATTTGAGATACAATGAACATGTACCAGGAAGAAGTATTTGACCTTGATTGAGTTTTTAAGAAAAATTATATTTCAATTTTTTTATGATTTCAATAGAATATGAAGAACATAAACATTTAATAACAGCAAGAAGCAATGATGTAGTCGATGAATATTCATTTGTTATACTTTGTAATCGATTAAAATATTGATATGTCATTAGTAGACAATGAATTAAAGTGAGAAAAAGAGGATCATCTAAGTATTTTCCATTGTCACCAATCTCATTGAGACAATTGGTAAGCTCATCGATTAAATGTTGATGAAAAAGAAGTTGCTTGAATCAATGAGCATTGGTATTATTGATATGACGACTGATATTTACAAAGAATGTTGACAGATCGAACAATAGCTCGCATGCAATATCTTGATTTTGTCTTCAACGAAGATAATCAACAAGGACAGAATCGCATAGGATGATGAAAAGTGGATGTGTGATGAGTGCAGGATCGGTTAGTTGCTTATTGTTGGATGAGAAATAAGTTAATAAGGAAACAATTTGTTTGATCAATGTAATTTCCACAGTAGAGCTATCAGACTTCTTTATTTCGAAAATGAATGCATCCCATGATGTTTTGAGTTGTTCAACGCTAATGGTTGTTGCTTGTTCCTCAATTGTAACGCAATCATGATCCATAACAGTATTCATCTCTGATTAGACATTTAAAAGAAAAACAAAGCACATAATGATAGTTCGAAAATCAGTAACATCAGATCGAAGACTAAGAAAACTTTTAAGAGCTGATGTCACATGTTCATACAGGAATAGTAACGATTTTCTTTTACAGAATAATAATATTTAATATTTTACTAAAGGGTGTGGGTGAGTGTGTGGGTGGGTGGGGGTGGGTGTGGGTATGGGCGTGGTTGTGAGGTGTGGGTGTGACTTCGGATAGAAACAAACCCACACCCACACCAACACCCAACTAATGTAGGAAAAAGTTTCATTCCATAATAAACGAAGCATATGTAATGAAGTATATGCACGCTCAAGTGTAAGTGAAGCTTTGAACGAAAAGATAATGCAGCTGTTGTTTGGGTATGGACGGTATGGGTGTGAACGTGGAGTATGACTGTGGAGATTCATCGAACTATACCCACATCCTTCACTCACTCATACTTATATTCACATCTGCACCACGCTCAGCTTCGTCTGTGACTGATTAGTGTTCTCTTATCATAAGACGTTCTTACTGATAATATGCAGATTTGTAAAAAGAAAAAAACATGGGGAGAAGAGGAAGAAAAAAAAAGTAAAAACAAGTGTTCTCTAACAACACTAGCAGATAAGAATCTGACGCTCTCAAAAAAATCCATTTTCATATCTAACAGAGTATAGTCGCCAACAATAAAAAGGGTATGTTGACAATTTTCTTCATTTGGCTTTGAGCAATGATAGTGGTATTTAATACAAGATAATAGTTGAAGAAGAAACACTTACTAGACATATGAAGTACATAAGAGTAAATGGGCTCTAAAAATGAATAATATAGAAAAAGTAAACTTTGTTGATAGGAATTGTCATCATTTTGAGACGAAACTACAACAGTTATTTCCAGTTGCAGTTGCGTAAAAATACATTTTTCCCATTATATAGATGATATATCACCTCCTTCTCTGCATTTTTGTTTGTATTGTTGACTATGAATAGTTATTGGTGACTGTTTTTACTAGGAAGAGGAATTTAATAATAATCATAACTCGAACATCGAGATTCAAAGCATAGCTATTGATATATTTACGTACTACAGTTGGGTGTGGGTGTGGGGGGTGGGGGTGGGTGTGTGGGTGTCGTTGCTAGCGAGAAGCATATCAACACCCACACCCCATACCCCACCCACACCCGCACCCCTCATATATCATTAACTTAACGATTTTGAATGACTCTGTTGTAACGAGATAGAAAGTTGACTCGATACCTATATAGTAATAAAGTTGAGAATTTTGAGTGAATCCAGTTTAATGATGTGAAGAATGGTTTACATGTGATTGTTTATCTTCTGTTCACATACATACACACTCCACAATCTTGCGGTTAAGTGATTCAGTCATATTCTGATGTTAAACAGAATTTGCTTCAGAAAATCCATTTGGTCATTGGTTTGCAGAGAAAAAACTTGCATCGACAATGCCTTCCGCACATGAAGAAAGAAAAGGTAAGCATTGACTATCTTTAATGCACATATTAAAGTGTTCTTGTCTGTAACACCATGAATTGAAAGAATTGCTTCAATAGGTTTTGCTAGCTATTCTAAATATGAGTGTTTTTTTTTAACATTAGAGAAACCTTGGCTCGAGTGCCATTTTAATGATATTAATCAAACATCTATTAAGAAACCTCATGAATTTGGAATTAGTCAACAAGATTGTGCTCCGTTGTCAACTATTAGTGATGATGTAGTGGATCGTATTCGAGGTTCGATTTTTGGTTTAGCCGTTGGTGATACTCTTGGCGCCCATGTTGAATTCAGGCCTCATAGTTATATGGTTGCTAATCCAGTCAAGGATCTCGTAGGAGGAGGAACATGGGGTCTGGAAAAGGGACAGGTAGGTACTGTTAAAATGTGACGTGTATAACAGCTTGCTTTTCTAGTTCACCGACGATATATCTATGGCGCTTTGTTTAGCCAGTTCTTTAATTGCTTGTCAAGGTTTTGTACCATATGATCAATTGGTTCGTTATAAGTGGTGGTATCGACATGGCTACATGTCATCGACTGGCCATTGCTTCGACATTGGTGCAAATACCAGAGAATCCATCGAAGAATTTGAAAAGCGTCAAAGCAACTTTGCACGTGAGCATAACATTGCTTTAAATCAAATAGACCAGTTATCCGATCTCAATCTTCTTCATGAATTCAAGGTCGAATGCAGCCATGCAGGCGTGGCTGGTAATGGGGCGCTGATGCGTCTTGCACCTGTACCAATATTCTTCTTTAGACATCCAAAAATGGCTGTTGAATATTCAGGCTTTAGTGGCAAGATCACCCATGGCGATGACAAAGCTTATGACGCTTGTCGCTATTACGGAGCTCTCATTGTGGCTGCCATTAATGGTGAACAGAAAAATGAACTAACTAGTAAAAGCTTTTACGATAATCATTCAGAATGGTTTGGGGGTCGAACTCTTCACCCTGACATCATGGCGATTGTTCAAGGATCGTACCAAAAACCAGGTGGTTATCAGGATGGAATTCGAGGAAAAGGATACATTGTCAATGCTTTAGAAGCGGCTTTGTGGGCTTTTTGGAGTGATGAAAATTCGTTCGAGAATGGTGTACTTAATGCAGTTAATCTAGGTGACGATACAGATACAACAGCAGCTATCTACGGTCAGTTGGCTGGAGCTCACTACGGTTACAAGAAGTTGCCAGAAAAATGGCTGAATTGTATCTATGCTAAATCTTTCCTTATATGTGTGAGCAGTTGGATTGCTTATGAAGGGGAAAGATGGTTTAAACATCAGACAATGTCCGATATAGACAAATCTATAAATTCTTCTAACATTATACCGTTCAATTCGAGCTCAAGCGGATCAATCACCCAAACGGAAGATCCACGCATAAGACTTAAAACAACATTGAATCAAGAAATAACGGTGATAGAGCTTGGCGATCCGAAAAATGATCCAGATTTCAAAACGAAGCCGCCGAACCGTCTATGGCTCTGGCTAGCAGTGCTGAGAAAAAAACAGTTCCTATTGCAGCGTTTAAATGGTGTTTTACAAACCATATGTCGCATGATATTTTATCTACGAAATCAAAGAGGAGTGACTTTTAGAAATTTCTACTGCTTTTTTATTTTCTTGTTTATTTTTATTATTATCTTATATAAAATAAGTTTCTTCAAAGCATAGAAGAAAAAGAAAAACAGATGCGAAAATCCAT